TCAGACATTTTTGTAGGGCACACACATCAAAAAATAGTTATATTGAATTGGGGACTCAAGTATATTTATTTTATGATGATTTCGATTCAGAATGTATGAAAGTATACTAACACTTAATTTGATTTTAATTTTAATATTTTATTTTATGAGCTATCCTCAAGTAGTTTTTCCATGACGAAACCCCAGTAAGTTACTTGTGTGGAGAATTTGACACCTGACAAGATCATACTTGCCACTGATTGATAGGAAAGGAAAATCCACGACTTATGTCACCATTTCTGGATGTCAGAATGTCTGACAGCCTTGTGTAATCAAAAACAGTAAAGTGCTTCATTGTAAATTAAATAAAATTGTGAAGAATTACCTATGTATTTGGGAAGCATTCCTGAGAGGTTTAAATACTATTCTGAGTTAGGAAGAGAAACGTAACATTGTTAACACATAAATCCAAATGATGATTAGGAAAAATATGTCAGCTCATGAAGTCTGTGCCTTTGCTCTGCATCTGTGAAGTGATTAAAAAAACTGTTCTGGCTATTTCCCTGGAAAGGCAAAAATATGAGTAAATGGTGGTGAAGAACATGAAATTATAGCACTCTTATTTCCCCAGCTGCAGGGGTAATTACTCACACATCAGTGTTCCTTTAATCTCAGCATCTCACCCACAAAAATTTCTAATACATTTTCTTCAAAGGTCTCACTTTTTCTCACAGCCATGAAGCTATTCAGGGCTTTCCTCTCTCATAGCTAGACTATTATCCTAACTTCGGCTCCTCCCTGTTACATGTTGTGGAAAAAAGGCTCCTAGCATAATCTTTACCGGCAACACTTTAAAAAAAATGATTTCACGCTCATTTTCGCAGCGCACAGGTAGTTCCTCCTTGTTGTGTATCAAACCCAAATTACTCTGATAGCTCTCAAAGCTTTCCTGTCTGACTCTGACATGCTTCTCAGGGTTACGTCCCATTACATCCCTACCCTTCCCCAAGAAATTAGTGTGTCACTGTTATTATTTTTTGTGCACATGCACACCCCTTTGCTTTTACTTATCCATTCATGAGATTTTAACGACAGTAGCTTGCTACCAGGCTAGGTTCTAGGTTACAAACATGAATGAATAAACATAGTCACACCCCTTAAAGTTTGCATGAGCTGGTATATGACAAGCACAAGTGTCCGCAATACAGAGTCATAAATGAGGTACAGAGCAGTAGAAAGAGGGATACATATGAAGACAAATTGACAAATGCCATTTTGTACACGTAACCAGGAGCTATTATGGTTTGTAAATTCCAGAAAGGCAAAGACCTTTCTTTTTATTATGTAGGTACTTTCAAAGTACAGGTCAAATGTATCCACACTGAATACACTATCAGATTCTTCGGAAGAAACAAGGTATTCCCGATATTTCATTCTACAAAGACAGTTGATGACACAAGTAGGTTCCTTTTCCTAAATGTAAAACTACCGTCTTGGTGTGGCTGGAACTACACTGGAGTATGAATGAGGCAAACTTGAGCTTTGGTCCTGACTTGCCCCTAATAAGCCAAGTGACTTTTAGCAAGACAAGGGGAAACCTCCTTAGGGATCTAAAATCAGTAAGTTGGGTGAGATGCCCCTACCTTCTTCTCCTGCTCTTACAATCTATTATTCTCTGTGTCAGCATTCCTTCAACAGACACAGACTAACAGGAGCTACAGTATGTGTGTCCCTAGACCTCGTGATCTGTTTATATTACAGATACTCATGTCTTACCATTTCTAAGCTGGAGTCAAATGATTTCACAGCTAGAATCAGTGAAGGTGCTCACTCCCTAGGCTTAGCCACTGTGGCTTTGCTTTCGCTCATTTTTAATCCTGGAGATGCTGGCCTGGAAAGACAGAAACTGCCACTCTTTGAGCATTCCCTTGGTCACATGGGCAAGCAGGAATCCACATCACACTTGGCATATTTATTGACAGTGAGACTCCGGAGTGACTGACGGAAGCCTGAGACTGAGCCGATCTGACAGCTTGAGAGCTTAAAAGCATCGATTAGTGAACGTGCCAGAATCTGACCTTCCAACTGCCTCCATGTTGTGGTTTTGGTTTCAATAATGAGAAGAAGAAAAAAAAAAAGAGAGCGAGAGAGAGGAAACTTTATTCTTTCTTGTTTAATGGTGATTATTCTACCCAAACAAGAAGGGCCATGAATTAGTAGGAACTTGTGAGTATAATTTTAAGACTCTCACACACCAGGGACTGCACTGGGGCAGGTGCACTCTCACCGCACAGTCCCATGTGTGCCTTCAGCACATATTCTCACATTAAACAGCTTTGGAAGACTCTCCTTCCAACGGAGGGAGCACACACATCCTGTACACACTGTACTTGCCATGCTGTCCACTGACAGATATTCATACTGCACTCTTTCATTAGGTGACAAAGCAGTTTTCACATTTATGGTAGTTGGTGCTAATGAAAATTTATATAAGGAACCAAAGGACACTAAACAGTTGTGAAGATTATCATTTTGCTTGTTTTCATTTCATTTGTGGTAATAAAAAAGTGTGAATTGAAAACCTAAGGAAAAGTAACAGTTGACTGACTTTAAAAATGAAATACACTCAGTAAGAAGTCATGCTTATAAATACCATAAAGTACCTGCAGCATTAAATTTAGAGACTGTATAGCAATGGCCGAGACACATAATATTACTGGATCCTCAGTCTGCGGGGTCGTGATGAATGGGCTATCACTTAGTGTTGGTTATGCTTATACTTTTTTTGTAAAATGAAATTCATACTGTACAAAAGTCACGATGCTAGCACTTACAGCTGTTTTGTTTGCTAGTATAAATACGAATATGAGAAGAGAAAACCACCAAGGAAGGGAGCTCCGAAACTATTATGTCCTTTATCTTTACTTGACCGTTGCAGTTTTCTGACATTGTTTATGACTGGCAAAGTTCATCAGATTTGCTTCAGATTTGCTCAAAAGCTCATGCACCTGGAGAACTCCCTCTTGAGTTTAACTGTCATTCTGCTTTCTATTCCTTGTTTTCCTTCTTAAATACATTTGAGAATATATGGCATTTTAGTTAAGGGGAGAGGTTCACAACTCTATTTTTCAGTCAGAAGAAACCATATAAATAATATCATTCACATGATAAAATGGGAGTCTTTTAGTAAACATTTACTCTTGAGTGTTATTTGAAAATTCTTATACTAAGTGGGTTTGATAATACTTATGAAAATTTCTAGACATAAAAATGACAGCTGCAACAGTGAACTCTCTGAAACCTTTTCTGATTAATCATATTATTTATTAAGAACTCCCTAGGAATTTACTTCTATGATGCTATTCAAAATTAAAATGTCACACATGCAATATTTTGTGCATGTGTGTGTATCTGTATATGTTCTCATATCTTCCAAAGTGGCACAGTTCTCTAAGGAACAATTCTATTTTCTGTTTCTAATTTTCATTTATACCCCCAATCAACTAGTGCAATATTTCATATTTAACAAACATGCAATCAATATTTAGAATCGTCATGTTGACCAAGTCATATTGGAGCTGGCTTGTCTTTGATTATATTCATTCCCTAATAAAATGACCAGTGTCACTGATGTCAAAACAGTATCAATACATAAAATTCTTTAATTTTAAACAACTGACGTAGCATTAAGATTAAGATTTGCGGGGAGAGTATAGCTCAGTAGTACAGCACGTGCTTAGCATGCACAGGGTCGCGGGTTCAATCCCCAGTACTGCCATTGAAATAAATAAATAAACTTAATTACTCCCCCCCAAAAAAGATTAAGATTTTGACATCTACTTGATGTGACTATATACACTATAAGAACTATGTCTTAATCTATTTATCTGTCTATTTAACTTATACACCAAACATATAGCTGGTCCAGCTGCTGAAGAAATCATCAAAATAAAGTATGACCTACTGTAGAAGTTTTAAACACACCCTGAAATACGTAACAGTGAATAAGAATAACAAGAAATCTTTCCAATGACTTTGAGAGAAAAGATTGCATCTTACTCTTCTCTGCATTCTCTACAGCAACTAGCTTTGTCTTAGATGTAGTAGATGCTCAATAAACATCTGGTGGATGAATTCCTGACCATACAGACGCAGAGAGGCATGGAACATGAATTATGGGATAGGGAGAAGCCCAGGAGAGGGAGAGAGGACGGTACAAAGTCTGTCTCACAGCGATCTCTCATTAACGACAATGCTACTCCTCTACTGACTACTTGGCGGGGGCTATCTGATCTGCTCTCTGCAGCCGGCTTATTGACTGTGTGGGTCAATGTCATCTGATGCATAAAGAACCAAGAGAGTGGGAGGTAGCATTTTCCCAGATAACTGCTAAGAAGCAGATGGTTTGCACTTTCATGCCGTGAGGCTGAGGGGCTCCCAACTAAAGATGAACTATTTGTAAAAGCAATCTTAAAACTGACAATTCCTTCTTCATCAATAGATCTGATCTTGGTGAAAGATTAGATTAAAAAAAATAGCACAAAGACATAGTAAAGACAGATTCTGCTTTTCTAAAAACTGCTTTTCCTCTTTTTATTTACACCACCTGTGCTGTACACATACTTATAGGGTCTAGTTATAGGGTCTTAGATTATGGTGGCCCTTGGTTTCTACCTTCCTAGCCACTCAACGCCTAACCTTTTACTGCTAGTTAGTACTCATGCTAAATGCAAGTCGAATGATTAGATCTGAGAAAACTTCAACAATAAAACAATATCCTTAATGTAAATCTTATAAACTGACCTAACCAATCAATAAAACCCCAGAAAAACAAACCAAAAATACTAACACTTTATCCATAAGACAAATAAAAATTATTGAAGAGAATGAAACTACCGGATAAATAAGAAGTTTGTGTTAAATGCCAGTTCAGTATCTTCTGCAGAGTTCCTAAAACAAAGCAGCATTCCCATATCGATAGTTTCTCTTCTTTCACCCCAGGACAGAATGTTCGATGTTACCTGCCAGAGAGGGTCCTTCTGCTCAGGGAAGAGTTCAAAGTACTTGTGGGCTAGCTGCAGTGGAGACAGAGTTTGCAATTTCAGGTTGGTCCAGCCCTGCACGAAGTTGGCCAAGTTCACAAAGGTGTACAATCCAAGGCGGTCATTCCCATAGTTCGACAAATGGGTCATGAAAATGCTGATCTGAAAAAGAAGTGAAAATGGCCATAAATATCAGATGCATATGCTTAAAAGTGGCATAGAAGCTCCAGGCACTACCTCACCTAAACATGGAATTTCAGGAGAAGTAGAATGCCAGAGGCAGCTGTCTGTAAGTCAGAAGAGAGGTCTCCCTAGAAACTGAATTTCCTGGCACCTCAATCATGGACTTCTAGCCTCCAGAACTGTGAGAAAATAAATGTCTATTGTTTAACCCACCCATTCTGTGGTGTCTTGTTATGGCAGCTTGCAAAGACTAATACAGGTAGAAAGCTACACATTTGATTTCTATTTCAAAGACACTCTTAAATTTACTTTTAAAATTAATTGAAATTGGGATTGGCATCCCCTCACTGCTCACTGAAAGTATAGTATTATTTTACACATCAATTTTTCTCCATTGTGGAATCAACACCATCAAACCCAATAATCTAATAAATCCTAGACTAGAGAAGAACCAGAATTAGACAAGTTCTAAAATTAAACAGTTGTTTTGGTATAGATATGTGTACAGCTTGAGATGAAATCAGACTCAAGAAAATTTGTTTTTCTGTGATCTAATGAGGAATTTTTACTTCAATGAAGAAACAATATTTGCAAAGAAACTGCATTTAGCCAATAATCTTCTATACTCATTCATTATTTTACAGTTTTTCCTACCTAAATATTAACTCTAAAAATATTTGGGTATTACATTTTTGTGGACCAGAGACTAGGAAAAAGTGAAATCTAGATTAATTGCTCTTGAAATATCAACAAAAAATTTGAATGTGATTACAGATATAATCTAATATTCAATCCATCAAGAATTGCAGTTGGGATAAAAAAATACTAAATAAAAGAGAACTTACATAATCTTGATCTAAATTGCAGAAATTACTAATGCAACTCATAGAAAGGGATTTCATAATTTTCTAAAACAATATTGGTACTTGCTTCTCAATCTTATATATATATATGAATTTTAAAAATTCATTTTATTACTTATTGTTTAGATCTATAAGTATTTCAGAACAACTAATATAATTAAATCATTAATTTCATTAGAAAAGTAAGAGTAATATAATGGTATGAGTAATAACATTAAAACAAATATAACATGTGAAATTAATCAGACAAATAATATTCACAGATCAATATATACAAGAAAAGTCAAGTGTCATGTGGCTATTTTTTATATGGTTGCTTACTAACTTTTTCTTAAGGGTTTCTGCTTATTGGTGTGCTGGTTTGGTTTTTTTATGGGCTATTTTAGAAATAAAAGTGTGTTTTCAGTAAACCGTTCCAATATCATATCATTGCAACCTGGTTAGAATTGTCAGCCTTGCATTAAAGGTTATACACTGCAAAACTCTTATTCCCAAGACCTAACATGTCACTTGATAACTGTGAATGCCCAAAGAGGACACCTTTTGTCTTAAAAATAATAGAACATTATTGCGTTATATGCAAAATATACAAAGAACTCATACAACTCAATATCAAAAACAAACAAACAAGCAAACAGCTCAACTAAAAAATGGGCAGAGGATATGAACAGACATTTTTCCAAAGAAGACATGCAGGTGGCCAACAGGCACATGAAAAGATGCTCAAGATTGCTAATCAACAGGAAAATGCAAATGAAAACCACAATAAGATATTATCTCAGACCTATCAGAATGACTACTATCAAAAAGACAACAAATAGCAAGTGTTAGAGATGATGTGGAGAGAAGGAAACCTGCATGCACTGTTGGTGGGAATGTAAATTGGTGCAGCCATTATGGAAAATAGTATGGACATTTCTCAAAAAATTAAAAGTAGAACTACCTTAAAATCTAGCAATTCCACTCATGGGTATTTATCAGAAGGAAAAAAGTACACGAATTCTAAAGGATATGTGTATCCCTGTGTTCACTGCAGCATTATTTACAAGAGCCAAGATATGGAAAAAGCCTAAATAAGTGCCCATAAATAGATGAATGGATAAAGAAGATGTAGTATATGTGTGGTATATATATTTATATATATGAAATATATAATGGAATATTATTCAGTCATAAAGAATGAAATCTTGCTATTTGTGACAACATGGTAAAAGTAGTAAGTCAGACAGTGAAAGACAAATATTGTATGATTTCACTTATATGTAGACTCTAAAAAACAAAACAAATGAACAAACATAACAAAACAGAAACAGTCATAGATACAGAGAACAAACAGATGGTTGCCAGAGAGGAGAGGACTGAAGAAAGGAGAGAAACAGGTGAGGCAGATTAAGAGATACAAACTTCCAGTTGCAAAATAAATGAGTCACAGGTATGAAATGTACAGTGTGGGGAATATAATCAATAAATGTGTAATTACTTTGTACAGTGACAGATGGTAACTAGACTGATCATGGTGATCATTTTGAAATGTACAGAAATAACAAATCACCATGTTGTGTAACAGGAACTAAAATAGTGCAGTAAGCCAATTATACATCAAAAACAAACAAAGACACAAACTCATAGAAAAAGAGCTCAGATGTGCGGCTACCAGGGGCAGGGGTGGGGTGAGGGAGGGAGAATTGGACGAAAGCAGTCAGAAAGTCCCAACTACAGATTTTCAGCTATAAGATAAATAAATATGAGGGATGTAATACACAACATGATAAACATAATTAAGACTACTGTATGCTATATATGAAAGTTCAGAGAGTAAATTCTGAGTTATCATCATGAGGAAAAATATTCCTTTTCTAATTTCTTTAATTTTGTGTCTATATAAGATGATGAATGCTCACTAAACTTACTGTGATCATCATTTAAGATATATATTAAGTCAAATCTTTGTGCTGTGCACCTTAAACTTATACAGTGCTTTATGTCAATTTTACCGCAATAAAACTAGAAGAAAAAAATAATAGCTTACACAAGAATTACAAACACAATACTCTGGCAAGATAGCATCAGTTATAAGTTAAAAGTATCAGGTTTAACAAATGCCCATTACTCGAAAGCTGAAAAGGAGTCTCTGAGGAAAATCCATTAAAATGATGAAAGCGATTCCTCACCATGGTTGAAGGTGGGAAGGAGAGTGACAGCCCATTGTCCTCAATATCCTCAATTATGTCAAATATCACTTAAAATGCATATAGCATTTTCTATGTGCTAGGCAAGAATCTAAGTGCTTTACACGTAAGTCCTCACAACAGTCCTATAGGGTAGGTACGGTTACTGTGCCCGACAGATGAAAACACAGAGGCACAGTTAAACAATCTGTTCAAGTCCCACATCTAGTCAATGGCAGAGCAGAATTTAAAACCTAGGCAGCTTGGCTTCCAAATCTGGCACAATATACCCCAAACCTTCACCTAAACAGTTTTATGTATAGAGTTTGACATCCATCATTTTTCCCTTTCGCTTTTTTAGAAATAAAAGACAAAGAATATCTATCCATAAAAGAAAGTGGAAAATCTATGTAAATATTATCATGGCAACTTAAAGTTTTCCCTTTTTTTAAATTGAAATGATAGAGCATACATTATTTTTGGACTCCTACATGCAAATTTTTATGACAATGAATTATATAGTATTTGAAACAAATTTTACTGACGGACTGCAAATTCATCTTTGAAGACAGTATCATACCTATCATGTTTCCAGTCCATTTTCCCCACAGGGGGCATATTTAAAACCTTTTATTCTAAAGGTCAAAAAGAAAAAAAAGCCATCTAAGGACTTTTCTTTATGTAACTTGTTTAGATAGAAATTTAAAATTAAACCCCTCAAATTTTAATTGGTACAATGTTTTTTGTGATTCACGTGGAATCCTTTAATTAGGCTCAGGGTAACAATGTCACTGATTTTTACATTGGCCCAACTTGCTTTCATTTTTAACGTCTTTTATTTTTTTTCAAATGGGAAGCGCCCTCGTGGCAGGACTGTATAGAATTTTAAAAACATAATATAGTATCAGTAGTTGATGACCATATAATTGCAATTGTTGTCAAGAGAACTCCTCATCACCACAAAATTATATGCATTTAATCCCAGTAAGTGTGCATTTATCTCATGTTACTACTGTAATTAAGAAATAAGACAGTATAAGTAGTGTTCTTCAGGATAATTATAGTTTCTTAGAACTGAAATTATTATAAAAAACCAGACTGCAGTCCAAATGCCTGAAGAAATATAATAATGTCCTAGAAATCTACCACTTGACCTCTAGAGAGTGTTGTTAGGATGGAACTTTAAGGATTTAAAGTTTAAGCGTTGTTAAGATGAAAGTTTATAGGTGTAAGTGTCTAAAATCCAACAAATTTGCAAATAAAAATACTCCTCAGAGAATATTGTAAAGATTGTTTTTATGTCATGGGCAGATATACACTATTTCGTTAGGTATTACCATAATGCTTTTACAAGATTTTGTGGCCCGCTAGTTCTAAGCCATTTATACAGAATTTCCTTCGGAGAACAAGCCTTGCCTTCTGAAGGAAGTGTAACACAAATGCAGGGCACATGGAAAATCCACCTTTGGAAGAAAGCAGTATCTGGAGATGTTGTGTGGTTCTAAGCTGAAGCACGCTTCTGCATTTAAATGTCTCTTTGCTGAGAAGAAAAAACAAAAACAAAAACAACAACACCGAGTACCCTAGCCAGGATAGTCACAATCACCGTGTACAGCGCAGCATGTGAACATGCCTAAGTGGCCAGAAATAAATTAGTAATGGTACATGGTCAGTTGATTGCACTTTACGAAGAAAAATTCTGCAAGCACCGCTTAACTGTGCATATCTGATTTTCTAAAAGCACCTGCTGATTAGACAGAACATTTTAATTTCAGTATTTCTGGGCAAATGGCTTGTTTAAAAACAAAACAAAACAAAACAAAAATAATTCAGGGAGTGTAGGAAGAACAAGACAAATTAAGAATGGATGTAGTTTGAAGCATAAGTAAGGTAAATTAGAAGAATGCAGTATGAAATAGTAGCAAATAAATTTTCACAGACATAATAT